TCTTTCTAGAGATGCCTAAGATCACACGTGGGCTTCTGAGATCCAAGATTCTGTAGCCATTCTAGACCCCTCTCACGCCCACAGGCAGGAGCTAGAGCGGCACGGGGTGCTCTTCTTCCTATTACAAGTCAGGAAAAGCCGCCAGCACAGACGAATGAGAATCCGAGGAAAAGAATTCAGTCAGGATGTCAGCAGCACTAGAATTTCGACAGACCTAAGTTCTAAGTTAGGTGCCTGAGACAGGTGTGCCTTGCAAGCCTAAGTACATGGCAGGTTCTCAGCAAACATCTTCAGACCAAGAAAGACAGCCACCCAGTAGTCATGGAGGCTTAATCATTTTAATAGGCATTCAAGACATGCTTCCTGCATGCCGAGGTGCCAAGTGCTGGAGGACAAAGACGTGAGGCACTGCCTCAGCTCTCAGGAAGCCCTGGTCAGGACAAGACACTGACCAAGCCATTCCAAGGTACAGGCGCTATGACTGGAAAGCAAGGGTGTGAGAGCCCTCTGCCCATAAGTAAACAGTACTCAGAAAAAGCTTCCTAGTCTGTGTCTGTGTTAGCCCCAGGCAGTGGCACAGAAAGCATGAGCCAAGGACGAAGCCGCCAAGCACAGAGCTCCTTCTGAGTCTAGGCACTGTGTACAAGGAGGGCATAGGCCAGTGCGTATCTTTATGGTTCAGATCAAAAGGCAGTCTAAGGGTGGAGAGATGACTCAGTTGGTAAAGGGCTTGTTAGAGAAGCATGAGGATGTACGTGTTCAATCCCCCAGAATCCACATAAAAGGCTGGATGTGGCATTACATGCCTATAATACCAGCACCGGGCGGCACAGACAGGAGGATCAGCGGTGCTCACTGGCCAATCGAGCTGAATTGGCAAGACCCAGGTTCCCGAGAGAGAGACTATCTCAAAAGATAAAGTGGAGAGCAATTGAGCAAGAGAGCAAATGTCGACCTCTGGCCTCTGCACACAGGACTCACATACGCGTATACACACCCACAGGTTCCAAGGGTAAACACAAATGTTTATAGCCCAGCTCACAGGTTCCAAGAAGCCAAAGACCTGGGATTTACTGAGCTGCTAGGACAGTGTCCTTTGTGTGCTGTGCTGAGAGCAAGGCCTGAAGAGTCTAGGAAGAAAGACTGACTCCAGGGCAGGAGTATGTCCCATAACCCAGTCCTCCTAAGGGTCCACACACTTTCAAGACAGAAGTGCTAGAAAGGGCCCTGCTGGGAAGGATGGTCTGGAAAGGGCCCTGCTGGGAAGGATGGTCTGGAAAGGGCCCTGCTGGGAAGGATGGTCGATAACTAGCAAACAGGAACAAACTGATTCAAGATGAGGCTGATGGGATGAAGGGAAGGGCACCCTGTGGTGAGACTTGGACAATGAGTGACACTTAGAACAGCAAACCCGTTTTTATTCATATAGACTCACCTATCAGTCAATATCCAGAGTCTCTGAGAGTGTACAGAACCCAATTTAAAAACTGTGCAACAAGCTGGAAGACCAGTCACATACCTGCAATCCCAGCATGCAGGAGGCCGACTAGAAAGATCATGAGTTTTAGGCAAGCCTAGGCTACATAGTGAGAGCCCGTTTCAAAAAACCCAAAACCTAGTTTGGAGATGAATTCAGTGGTAGAATACTTTCATAGCATTAGGCAGAAGGCCTCGGGTTCAACTCCCAGGGCTATAAAACAAACAAATAAATGAAAAATCAGGCAGGACAGCCTTTCAGAAAGAGCTTGGTGTGCTTTACTATGTAGAGTATGTTGCCTGCAAAGGAAAACATCCCAGGCTGAAACACTGCAGCTTACACAGGCCATAGACAAGTGCCCTGAGGCTGTGGGCAGCCAGGGGCTCCGGTGACACTATCAGTTTTCTCTTATCCTGGTGGCCCCCACAATGTAGAAGGCTGGAGTGGATACCACATGCTTGATCTCCCTTACTTCTTACCAAAGAGCTGCCTTTTGCTAACTCCACAGAAGGCTGACTCCACAGAAGCTGGCGGCCTGGAATGAAGAAAGGAAGGCAAGTTCCGAGGTAGGTTTCCCCTAGAGTTCTGTGAGTATACACAGAAAGGTCCAACCCATGGTGTGGAGAAAAATGGGGTATTTTGAGATAAGTAACACCCAGTCTAGAGGCTCCCCAAAAGGCAGACAGGAAAAGCCCCTAGTAGGCAGTGAAGACAGGGAAGGTTGTACCTCTGATGCTCAGAATCGCCCCTTTTACTCAACAGGCAACCTGGGTCTCTGTGACAGAAATATAAAGCCCATCACCACCTTACTCCACCTACAAAGCAACAGGTTATGGACCAGCCTCCTTCCTTACTTAGTGTCTTCAGGACACAGTATCAGGAGTCTGTATGGAAGCCCAGCTTAAATGCCACACAGAAATGTTCCCCACTCTTGAGCTCCAGACCAGGAGATGCTTACCCACTGTCTGAATGACACCTCTCCAAACTCAAAGCCTTATTCCTCCTCAAGCTGGTCTCTCCGTAGTCTATGCACTGTAGCCCTGGGCTGCAGTCACTCCATATCCTCCTTCTGCCCTGGCTCTCACCATCCTGGCAGCTGCTTATCTCAGTTTTGCCCTTCCTTCTTAGGAGTGTCTGAAGGAACCTCAACTGGCCTCACCCTCAGCACATGCAGGAGCCCTTCTGGTTCTGGGAAACATACATCTGATCAAGTCACTCACAAGCCACAATCTTCCAGAAGCTTCTAAACCTCACTCAACACTGTGTCAATAGCACACACACCCAGCACCTCCTCATACAAATTCATTTTTCTTTATTTTTTTCCCCTTTAGTACTGGGGGTTGAGCCTAGGGCCATGTGCACAATAGATATTAATTTTATTATAGAGCTGTGCTCACCAGCCCTTTCTGTTGTTTTGAAGGAGAGTCTTGCTCTGTAGACCAGGGTGGCCTAAAACTTGGTCCTTCTGCCTCAGCCTCTCTACGGATATTAAAATAGTGTGTTACCATACCCAGCTCCCCTGGGTTCTGGGCACTGAATACAGAGCCTTGCATCTCCAGGTAAGCACTGCTGAAGTCTGAACGCAGTAAACACATATTAAAAGGATAGTGAAATTCTCAGATAATGAATTCAAGCTTGTTCTAAGTAAAAGGCCTGAGGGCTTTAAAAAAAATTTATCTCCATTTAGAAGGTGATGGCTACAAACAGCCACTGAAATGAAACGGCTGTTTGTAAAGGGCTCCTTTCTTCCATTTGGAGTTGTCAAAACAGAAAAGGTATGCTCAAACACGTAGAACACTGGACAGGGCAAATGCTTTTTTTTTTTTCAACCCACTTCATTGTCTTGTGTACTTTAAACTAGAAACCATCCAAAGGCAAACACTTTACTATGTCTTTTGAGGTTGGCTCAGCCTCTGATAAGGATTAGGAGCAATGCTGTGTGCCCAAGGTCACTGAGACTTGCCGGACAGTCCTGGCAGGTGTGGTTACTCAGAGCTAGTAGGGAACACAGGCAGGTGAGCTGCACTCCCAGGGAGGTGAGTTTTATTGTTGTTATGAAAACCTGCCTAGATTACTAGAGTACTTCTGCCACCCAAAAGGTCACCCTTAATCCAGCCGAAAGCCACTACATTCATTACTAGTTCACTAGTTGACTGACACGCAGCATTTAAAAAAATGGCGTCTTTATTCCTTCCAACAAGCACTTAAGAGAGTGCCTGGCCAACTGAATGCCAAGCCATGGGGGAGCCGAGACAACCCAATGTGGCTCCAGGCCTATTCACACAACGATTAGATTCTAAATACAGCTGTCACTACCCAGTGCATCCCCTCAAGTCTTTATCTGAGTACTGAGATTAGGTGAGGATTAATCATCAGAATAAAGGAAGCACATACAGCGGCCACAGCACTCAATACAAATGGTCACTATCAAATATTTGAAATTTCCTGACCATCTGTCATCTGGGTTGATCTGGACACCAACCCAGGCTACACAGAACTGACATCAGATAGAGCTTAAGAGAGTACAAATACAGTCATCTCCACAACAATTCAGTGAACAATGACAGGTGCCCATTGTGGAGGGGGTGTAAAAATTAGAATGGAGTCACTGTCCCCAAGTAGATGAAATGGTAACGCGTGCCACATTATGGGACAGTTGCCTGGGAGTCACCTGATGATCTTCCAGCAGAACACGGTGAATTGAGGAAAATAATTTTGAGCCTTTGGAAAATCATTTATCTACTTTGGAAAAACAGCAACACAACAGCCAAAAAAGCCAACCAATACCTGCATATGTCCCTGCCGGGTTAGACAATCTTTGGCCTTTAAAGTTAGCCCAGGGAGTCCCCATCCTAGAAGGTCAGAGCACAACTGTTTCTGAACTGAACCAGGTCTGTCAAGGAAAATCTGTGGTCAGGCTGCCAACACCCAACAGACTGACTTCTGTCATGTGTAGCCCACACCGTGTGGTGCCAGCTCTGCCCTCAAGCTGTTATTCAAAACTCCAGAAGCACAGGGCCAAGCTAAGGCACAGGTGACAGAGGCAGATCAGGGACACTAGCTGGATAGGGCTCTCAGGCTGGGAAAAGTACCTAAGCGTCAGGTAGGCAGCTGTGTCATCTCTGGCAAGTGAAGGGCTCGAGTTGTTGCAGGTCTCCGAGGGCAAAGGTATATGAACACTGCTGCAATTTTGAACGAATACAGAAAGAGGATTTCCTATTCCGCAGAGACGGAAAGTGCCCCAAGGGAAGGTTGACACAGAGGCAGTTCTTTCCCACGACACAGAGCCCAGAGAAGGCAGCCACGATCGAAGAAGGCCGGGCCTGTCCAAAGGGGTCTGACTCCGGGGCCCACGTCACGCACGCAGCACTAGACTCTGGAGCCCCCTAACCCGCAGCGACCAAGACACCGGGCACAACCCGTGCCCCCCTCCCTCAGTACGTCGGTGCCGCCGGTCAGCGCACCGTGGCAATGACACCCCCACACCCCGCGTCCATCCGCCACGCCCCCGCCGCGCACCCACCTCGGCGCGCCGCACCGCACCTCTCTAGCTCTCTGCTGGACCGCGCTGGCCTTTCTGCGCACGCGCGCAGGCGGCCCCGCCCCACAAGCACGCGCTTGCGGGCTGCCCACCCCGAGCGCCCCGCGTCTCAGCGCAGCCGGCTCTGAGCATGCGCACTTGCGCCCGGCGGCCGCCAAGTCGGGAGCATGCGCTAGCCAAACAGCGGTTCCCGCGCTAAAGGGCGGGGGCTCGCCTAAAAAGGGGGTGGGGGGGAAGTCCTAGCGCCTGATATAAGGCAAAGTCATGGACAACTAGAACCGCGATGGCTGCCAATGGAAATAGCCTCTGATCCGGTCACACGTGGACCTGAACTGCCCCTTCTCGACGTCCAGTCTTGAGCAGATAGAGTGTAGGGCTCCTAGCTAGGGACAGGACCTGTGTCAGGGAGCCAGGAGGCCAAGACTAGGAGCCGCAGTAGGAAGCGACAGCTGGATGGACCCCAGAGATGGGGACAACGGGACAAGATATGGGGCACAGGCAGAGATGCAGCTGCCGATGGGAACACAGACACGCGACTGACAGAAGCAGGCTAGAATGGATATGGGGACACGACGTTGGACAGGGGAGCCTACAATACTCTTTGTATATTCCCGGCTGGAGGCAGAGGCTGTCGCTGTCTTGGCTATGCAATTGAGCCTCAGCCCCTGCAGCGGTGTACAGGCGTCTATGGTGGCAGCAGTGGCTTTGGGGAAGTCGGAGAACTCTAGTGTATCACAGCACCGGAGAGTTGATGAATCACAGTGGCCCGTGGGATGTGCTCAAACCCCAGAGGGATGATCCTAGCATCCCATCGGAATGGGCGGGTTCACACCTTTAAGAGACATCGGGTATCAGGATACCCTTTGTACTGGGCAGCCAGGGTGATGAGATCAAGGTCCTCTGAGGATGAAAACTGCCTTAGGAGCCTCCAGATAGCTCTTAAGGGCCTCCATACTCCTCTAAGTTGGGGGTGAGGTGTCGCCAAATAAGTTTCAAGCGGGGATGGGGGTAGGAGGAAGTTAGATGGCGATGCACGTGACACCTCAGCGGGCTAATGCTCTGATGAACGCACCGCGCCCACTGATAAGAGCTGAGCCCGCCCAGTCCACGCCCTGCTTGCAGGTTCAGGCGGTCCCGCAGCGCCCCCGCCGTTCTCTCCTCTGCAGCCTCCGCAGGCGCCGAGTCCAGGCGTCTCTCCAAGGCAGCACGAGGCTTCCACGGGCGGCACTGAGCCCCGGTCCCCGGCCCGCTGTGCTCCCAGCTGCAGCCTCGGGCCCGCCTCCCAGCAGCAAGTAACGCCGGCCGGGCAGGAGGCGCGGGCAACCGCAGGCCGCGTCTAGGGTTGGTACCCACAGCGCGCTGCTCCCGCGCCGAGCGCGCTCCTCGCCACTGCGGAACACAGCAAGCACCGCTACCGGAAAGCGTGTCCACGCGCCGCGGGCCTCGCCGCGCGCACCCACTGCCACCTGCACCGCTGCGGGGGGGGGGCGTGGAAAAGCGATCAGGTTAGGTGGGGCAGGGCCAGAGGGGACTGTAGAGAAGCATAGCGTGTTCAACTGGCTTAGGAAAGACATGAAGAGGCCACCCACTAGAAAAAGGTACATTGAAGACGTAACTGCCAAAGCCCTCATCCGTGGAAGACCCGAGGAAAGAAAGTGCTTTGAGATACAACCAGGGTCAAGGTACAAAGGAGATGGGGGCAAGATGGAAGGGCCGGAGTGAGGCAGCCTACCATAATCCTTCCGACAGAACTTCTTTAGGCTGATTCGGTAACTGCCACGCTCAGGTCTGCAATGAGACTCACAGTCTAGGGGGAAAGAGTAGAGACTAGCAGATTTCATGCCTCTCCCCCATACTGGTCTGCTTTCGCTATAGCCCTCTTCTCCAAGGTCATACCAGTCTGGGTCCTGGTGTCTACTCACCCTGTGGTTCCACAGGACTGCTTTCTTCGGTGGGTCCAGGGACAGGAGTCTCTAAGGAGTGTGGGAGAAGAGTTTATGATGGGGTATCTGAAGGAAGGGCTGGGGGACAGACAACAGTCAGTAGCTGATGTGACTTTGGCTGAGGTGACTGAGACAGGGCAGGGTCACTCACTAACACAAGGTGCCACAGGAGAACGGCTCTGCTGGAAACCTGGGGCACAGCGGTTACAGGTGAGGCCAGTAACACCATCCTTGCAGGGACACTGGCCTGTGGTCTGGTTACAGGTTTTGCCAGCGGCACCAACTGGATGGCAATCACAAGCTGAGGGCAGAAATGGGGGGCTTACTCAGAAATGCAGCTGGGGTTCTGGGAAAGTAAATCATGAATGCATGCAGGTGATAGGCTCACCTCTGCAAGCACGACGGTCACTCAGGACACGGCCTGGGTCACGATAGAAGCCCTCCCGGCAGTAGTGGCAGTGACGACCAGCAGTATTGTGCCGGCAATTGAGGCACACGCCCCCACTGCGGCGGCCGGACAGTCGGTACAGCTCCATGTTGAAGCGGCATCTTCGGGCATGGCCATTGCAGGAACAAGCTGCGGGGAAGGATCAGTCAGGGGCAGCCCTTCCTGGTCAGAAGTCCCCAGGCTACCCTCCAAGGCCTCACCAAGGCAAGCGTGGGCTTCCTGCCCTGTAGCCCGCTGCCATGGCCTGTCGCAGTAGAAGGGCTTGCAGCGGCTGCAATCTGGGCCCTCTGTACCATGCTGGCAGTCGCAGACCAGGTGGCCATGGGTGTCTAACAGACACCGTGAGGCATGCCCATTGCACTTGCATCGACCTCCCACCTGAAGCTCAGTGGCTGAGTAGGAGTAGGGGACTGTGACCCCACCGTCCCTGGTGTCTCCCTGAATGGCAGGCCTTGTGAGTACTATGCGAATATCTGTGGCAGTCACCCAATCTTGGAGCACGGGGCTGTTGTCCAGATCCAGGCCCTGTGGGCTGCCATCCTGCACACTGAAGGCTAGAAGGCCCCCACCATCAGGATGAGCCTGAGGGGCTGGGAAGCAGAAGGCTTCTGGCCCTGGACCAGCAGGGCCATCAGCAGGAGCAGGCGGACGGCCATAGTCCAGGCTACAGCTGGAAGAGAAGAAGCCCAGGGGGACCCAGCTGCGGCCATGGTCCTGTGACTTAAGCAGGGCCACGGAGGTTGGGGGAGCTGAGCAAAAGCGCAGGCTCACGAAGACCAGCTCAAAAGCCTTCCCCAGAGGCACTGTGAGGGTTACGTTGAAAGGTGCCCGTTGCAGCAAATCGGAGCGCCAACAGTGAGGACTTGTAGTGCCCGGAGCAGAGGTCAGGAGGTCTGCAGAGTGTGCCCGCTGCGGGTCCGAGGAATCGCAGACGCGATTGGCCAGCCTCCCGCACGTGCTGGACGCCAGCACCTCTCGGCCCAGAGCAGCGTTCACTAGGCCAGGAATACAACGGCGAGGCTCCCCCGCCTCATCATAGCAGGGGTCGGCGGAGGCCGGCAGCCCTGGGCTCAGTGCAGCGGAGAGCGTGCCCGCGGTCAGCAGCAGCCCCCAGGGCCAGGTGGGCATGGCCGTGGCCGCTGTGAATCAACCAGCCAGCTTCCGCCCAACGATTCTGCCCTCGAGGAGAGAGCCTTGTCCGCTACTCTGTGTGCCGGGTCTGCAGTGCCAAGATAGCAGAGCCCCAGGGCGGCCCCTAGCACAGGCCCAGAAGTGGGAGCAGCCACCGGCACGCCCGGGGCCGAGCACAGGAGCAGGGATGTTGGCGAGTCCTCCTGCTAGGCCTGGAGCGTTGACAGGCGTCGCCCCCGCTCCCGGTGCCTCCGCCCGCGGAGGCCCCACCCGCCGCCGGCCGCCAGCACTCACCCACGGAGGGCCAGGAGGAGCAGGTCTCCCGGCCTCCCGGGAAGGGCCCTGGGCGGGCGGGGCCTGGGGCGCCGGGGCTGCCGCCTTCTCCGGCCTGCAGCGAGAGCAGAGGAGCTGTGCCAGAAGGGGGTGGGGGGCTCAGCAGGAGCAAGCCTGGTCCTAGCCAGGGGCGGAGCTGCTCGGGCCGGGAAGGAAGGAGGGGAGGGGGCCTTGTCCCGACAGCCAGAATCAGAAGCAGATTCAGACACAGGCTGGGCCAGCGCGGGAGGGGGCTGGGAGGCCCGCGATCCGGGGGAGGGGCTGGAGAGCCAGGAATGCGCTGACGGGAGGGGGCAGCTCAGCCTTGCAGCCCGTGAGGGACCACCCAGCAGGGTCCTCGGCCTGAAGCCAGGCTTTGGCTGCTCCTGGGGTGGTGCCACGTGCTGGGCTGGGGTCTGGGCCACTCCTCCTAGAGGCCCATCATCCAGGCACAACCTTAGGACTGAAGCTTGAAGTCTTGGATACTACCCAGAATGGGGGAAGAAGACAGTTGGGGCTGGTGTTCTTGTAGGGTATCCCCAAGGCAGTAGTCTGTTCTAGCAGAAAGAACGCGGGTCTTATTTTAAATCCGAGCTGTATAGATTTCTGGCTGTGTGGCCTGAGTTCCTCAGTTTCCTCATCAACCAAAATGTCTGTTGTTCGCCATGCTTTGTCGAGTTGCTGATGAGCCAATACAGATGTCCTAGGTGCACTAGGGAGCATCTGGATTCGGCTAAGTGATGAGGTCTCTGTTCAGTGGGATCCAGCCAATCTCTTAATCCAAAGCACTCCTGGGTCTCAGGGTATAGTTGTGTCATATGATAGCCCCAGCATCCAGAAGGCCTTGAAAGCTTGGACACAGGTTACAGCCTATTTGATGGTCCCTTGAGATTCAGGGTATGGTCACCTGTCGAACCCCACCCCCCACCCCCGTGGAAAGGTAAGGAATAGGGTTTGACGAATGGACAGAGGCTAGTCACAAATAAACCAGAGTCAGAATCCCTGAACCTGACCGTCTATAGCCTAGTAAATTTGGATAGGAAAATAGGCAAATGCCCCAGATGAGTTGCCTGGGCACAAGTTGGAGGTAGGCAGCTATAGCTGAGAGGTTCTTACCAAGAGGAACCACTGCCTTTGGTCCCTGACAGACTAGGCAAGGCTGGGATGGACTCCACAAAGGGTGGGTAGGAATACTG